ATGACCGGTGTAAGTCGAGGAAATTGGTTCCAGCCCTGTGTTATCAGGGGGTCAAAGGAGCCTGAATACCGTGGGCCGTACATATTGTGCAGAATCCGAAAAAAATCCTGGTAGGGTTCATAAGTGGGAAAGCTTCTTGCAGGGGTGTACATCTGTTCCCAAAGTATTGACTGGGATTTTTAAGATGCATAGCTGAGCAGTGGTTAGGTGTTTGTGGTATGTAGGCACTTGAGCGTTCGGTACGCTACTCGGCACCACGGTGTGACCTCTGTGATTGAAGGGACGTGGTCTGAAGGAGTGTCTCGTGGGATACAACCTGGAGTTGTCGTGGCACTCATTTTTGAAAAAGGGGGTTTAACGGAAAACCCGCCCTTTGGGTTCGTGTATTGCCAGTGTCTTAGCTATGAAATATTCTTCTCCGTCATTAGAAAGCACGCGCCTGAAATGGTCCTTCTTCAAAAACGTTTTAGCTTTAGATGGTGAGGTTTCGCCCGAACTTCTGAGTTTTCTGTCACCCAGCGGTCTTCTGTTTATGGTGACCTTAGGGGTACCAATGGTTTTCTTTTTACGAGCGAGTGAAGGATCAGGTTCACTTGTAGTTAGATTTGACCGAGACTGTTGTACGGAGGAAGAGGTGTATCCAACAGAAGTACTGACCATGTCAGCGCTTTCTGAAGGTCTGTTCGCGCACACAGCAGCCTCTGTGTTTAAAGGGGATGAACTGGCGAGACCACTCCTCTTTTGTTTTCTGCGTTGGCACGCGGTTCTATCTTGTGAAATAGCAATATTTTTAAGGCTATGTAACCTTATGTGGTCCTGTAGTTTAATAAGTCATTTGGGGTCAACTGAAGTAGTGAACTTGAAGATCATGGGGCAGCCAGACTTAGCTGACTTTTTGCGGAGGCGCTTACAGTCACGGTGTATTCCTGTCATACCGCATGAGTTTAATACCTTTGTCTTAACTACATCCAAGGGTAGGGTATCAGGTGTGTTATAAATGATGGCCTGTTGGAACGACGATAGTCTCTTCATTAGCTTCGTCGCCAAGTGGTCTATTAAGTCTTCTGCTCTCACTACATGGTCTTCAACTAAATTCTCATGCTCCCCTGGAAGATATGCTAATGGATAGAATTCCTCAAATATTCTCCGAATCTCTCCCATCATGGTCTTAATGTTATCGATTTCCTTCCTGTGGTCGTTAATACTGCTACTCATGACTGATATGGTGTCTTCGGTTCTGACAAGATCTGAGTTACACGGAGTAACAATGCTTCTGTCACACAGAAGAGCACTGGAATGGCCAAGTCTTTGCTTTTTCTCACTAAAGCAGTAGATTTTAGAACGTTTAGCCTTAGATCTTCCCATTTAAAAAAAAGACGTTGAAATCTAAGCTTATTGTTAAAATGGAAAAAACAGCGAACGGCCATACGTAGTATGCAGTATGTGAGGAGAATACCGGAGCTGTAAGCCAAATATATGGAGTGGACTGAAATATTGCTACAAAAATGTAGTAATAAGTAGTCAGACACAATCGGAAATCTGCAAACTGATATAATCAAGAACCACGTGAAAAGGAAGTGTATAGATTCGGCCTTACCGCGTGAGACGTTTAGAACGCGGTAACTTGTCTGGATCCCGTTAGCTTGGTTCTGTTGAGTTGTTTCCCGCGTTCAAGCCGAAATGTCTGGATTTTAGTAGTTACACAGTACTTAGCAAGGAACGGAAAATAAAAAACAACCTGCAGATACTTATTTGAACATTTCTCATTATTTTTAGACAGTATACAAAAGGTGCAACAATGGAACTTTAAGCTATGAGCTTTGTCTTCCCTCAGGCAACACATTTAAGGCTTAAATACAAACCATGGCTTTTGTTAATGCTAAGACGATACTTTCACTCGTTCATCACATAAGATTGTGCATACTTATTCCGCCGCCATGTCTAATCTCACTAACATACTGTGCATATCGTCCCTTGACTGAGCGGGTTGGGACTGAAATTGCCGGCTCTACAGAAACATGTAATTTTCGCGGAAATTTATCCACATCTGTAGAAATGATATGTGCCCGTACGTCCTGGATTAAATGATTCACGCACAAACAAAGAGCTTTAGCAAGCCAGTGATTTAAAGATAGTATATACGCCGTCGTGTGACGACCTGCCCTAATTATATAGCTCATTCAAGGGTAAACTTAACATAGCAACCTGTTGGTCTATCTTATGAGATCACCAACTCAACTTAGGTCGAAGTTGGATATACACTTGCGCATTTTCCATTCATTTGGACTTTTCCCTGCAAGCCTTAATGCTACCTGGTCTTCACAGCCTCCCTGACTTAGAGCTCAGTTACTTTAGTGACTTCACATTCTCTGAATACACGGCCAATATCCTGCTGGGTTGCGAAACTCGGAGCTTCTGCAACAAAGAGGCTAAAATACTGCTATGCAAAAATTGCGTTTGGCCCTTGCAAGAATATTGTTCGTTTATTCCAGGTAGCATGCGTATGAACGCAAAAGTTAGGATCGGTGGTGCATAGAGGTATTTTACATCTAGGCTACTTAGATAAGAATGTGGTGAGGATTATACATGCAGATGTATGTCTCTTGATCTACAGCCACTTGCCCTTAGGGAAACTCAGACCATTTATCAGGCCGATACAAAGTCATTTTACATACCGCTGGTCGCATACGGACTGACAGCTTTCTTAAACACTGGAAAACGTTGTGCTCTATCCTTGACGTCTGGCCTAATACGAGGTTAAGCAAACCCGGCCCTATTCCTTTCCCAGCCTTTTCACATTTGACGAGCCTTTCGGTGCCTCAACTTGGCGTAATATACCACAAGCACACCAACAACACTCGCTTTATCATTGGTGCTAAAGTTTTACCAACTTCCGAGTAGTTGCCAACGCCCAAAAACTTCATCTGATTTATTGTATCTTCTGGCAATTCGTCATGACATCTTCATTTTGTAAAATAAAAACTACTCATGCCAATCAAAGGATAATTTTTCGGCGAAGGTCGGCCTGTGAAGAGGAACTTGCTTTCACTCCCTCCAACACTGTTCTTTCACTCACCAGATAACTCACTTAACGATCCGAATCCTTAAATCACTCCAAACTTCCTCATATTATGACTTATCAGGGCATCGTTACTGGCATTTCTAAAATTTCCTGCATATTCAACGGCTATTTTTCTTGCGTCTGCGTCATCCCCACCACAGGCCTATTCTGTATACGTCCTGTCACTGAATCTATATGCCCCCTAAATTTCACTGCTCCTCTTAATTACAAGGCGGCAATTAGTATAAAACTGCCATATAGTTCTGGCAGTGGGGATATCCCGTCTGCCATATTCAAACGCAGTGGGGCCGATATCTCTTTGTTGCTCTTCAAATTATCCTCCTCTCCCCTCCTTATGTCCCACTACCCTGAATCCTGGAAAACCACTTTTATCTTCACGAAATATAAGTCAGGTTTCAAACATATCTTAGCCAAGCAACGTCCCGTTTATACCACTGCGATCATTTCAGTAATACTAGAGAGAATCATTTGTGACCAAGTTTTGGACTTTCTCCTCGGTGAGTGACTAGTTAGTCAGCATCAGTATGGTTTTCTGAAATCTGTATCAACTACTTCTTGTCACCTAGATTTCTTAAACCAAGTAAATTAGGATGGCGACCGCGGTTTGGCCGTATTAGTCCCACACTTTAACATCACTAAAGACCCTCATAACGTGCCCCGCCCCGTTATGTTAAAAAGGCCCCACGTTCTTGGTATCCGCAGACCAATAATGAGGCGGTCTCTGTTTTGATTTATATGCTATTATTTCCTCTCCTGAAAGTGTTTGTAGTGGCATTATTCATTGGCATCCTTGGATGACTGCTATTTCCGACCTATATCCATAACAAACTTCCACCCGGCCCATTTTCAAATGCCGTCCTTTCATTTTAATAAGCCTATGAGTATACGATAAACTCAAAAGCAAACGCTACCACAGCTCGGCTAAGTTTCATGGCCTCGCCCACCGATGACTTGCACAGTAGGGACCATCTATTGTGCAGACCCAAATTCTCTTCACCACTTAGCAGCCAATTTTTGTTATCCTCCTCGCCCAACCCTAGAATCGCTTACCTCATATCATTAGACAAAGTTAGATGGTAAAACGCCACAAGGGTCAAATTAATGCATTCGTTCCTCAAGAAAATAATGTTCTTCTACTCGACATCGGCCTTAAGCGACCATCCTCCACTGGGATTGTTGGACCACTAAATCCCGAAGCGTGTTTATTCTGAAGCTTCGACTAAACGAAGATTAATACTACTCAAAAGGTCCTGGTGGTTCCGTCCATCTTTTCCACCCTTGCCAGCCATTAATTCGCATTTTTACATCACACATGTGTATTGGCTTACCCAAATAGTGCTCTTCTACCTTGTAACTAATCTTGTTTAGCTATCACCTTCAAGTCTCCTGTGCTCACTAACTGAACTACTTCTGCATGACAACATCAAGATGTCAAGATGTTGCCTTTAAAAATGGTGTGCGTTCCTACAATTCATCGTTCAAAATATGTTATTGTTATATTCGGAATAGGGCTTAAGATATTCCAGTAGCTTCATGGGCAACGACTATCTACTTTTTTCCTTGGTACCCCACATGCCCTATGCTTTAGTTAGGATTTGATAATATTCTTTATAACGCTTCGAAATAACTTTAGCATGAATCTATGTTACCTAACAATTACCAGCCATTCTCGACACTAGTAAACACAACACTATGCTGCAGCAACCACAGTTTAATTTTTGACGAATCAGTAGATTTATGCCTCAGTGAGTGGTTTCAGTATCGTACACCAATTCCTATTAGGACGTGATTCAAGCTTAGCAGCACTAAATTTTGCAATTATAGGTCGGCTGACCAGTAAGATACTTATGAAACTTGAAGCTGGAGACTAGGTATTGAAACATTTATCCATGAGCTCGCGGGTGGTACGTTTTCCAAGATGGCTGGTGTAGGACCAATTGTAAGGTGGAAAAAAGTCTCAGCTGCCACTGGAAATGTCCCTAGATCAAGGCATGGACATAAGGCAGTAGCTATAAAGGATCTTATCGTAGTGTTTGGAGGTGGGAATGAAGGAATAGTTGATGAACTTCATGTATTTAATACGAGTATGTTTATTTCCTTTGTTTATGTGTTTTAGCAACTTGCCAGTGGTTTTTGCCTGCTGTACATGGTGACATTCCTCCAGGATGCGCGGCTTTCGGCATGCTGGCAGAAAACACACGTGTGCTAATGTTTGGTGGCATGCTAGAATATGGGAAATATTCGGGTGACTTATACGAACTGCAGGCTTCTCGATGGGAATGGAAACGTTTAAAGCCGAAACCTGCTAGGAATGGCCCTTGCCCATGTCCGAGGATAGGTAAGAGTCCGTGTAAAATGATTGTTCTTGGCAGGTCATAGTTTCACACTAGTTGGTCAACGTGCATTTTTGTTCGGCGGGATTACCAATGACAGTGATGATCCAAAGAATAACATCCCAAGGTAAATACTCTTTAGCTGAATCCTCGTTTTAAATGTGATAAATAGTAATTTAAATCTGAGTTCTATTCACAATCTATCCTGTCACGTTTGAGGGCTGATGAATTAAGTTCAAGTTGTAAAAAATTTATTTTGTTGAAAAGTGTGAAATCGCTGTGAATTCTTTTGCTTCACCTCTAGAAGTTCAGTTAAGTCGTAGTTAATCATTATTGTTTACCGTCTATCACTTGCAATAAAAGGTTTGTGTAGTTATATCTGGATATTTTTCGAGTCGAGGCCTTTCTGTTGGCTTTTTATCGACATTTAACTAGTTAGCAATTCTTCACTATGTATGAATTAGACGTCTTGATTTTGATTCAACTTTTCAGCTATTTATTTTGGTTGCCTACCGCAACAATGTCCCATGTCCTGCACCCAAGTCTTCTGTGCGTGATTCGTTTGACTTTCTCATCCTTTTTAGCTAGGAAGTTGAGTTCGTTCAGCGTTTGCAAATTACTCGCTATTCATAGTCTGGTGAACTTTAATAACACTCCAGTATTTTAGTTTGTACTTGGAGTGAATACATAAGAGCTACCGCAATGACCCATTTAACTGTTACGGTCTCTGTATCTGCTTCACGGTTATAATTTGACCCCTTGTTTTGCAAGTTTTGATTACTAATAGATGACAGCATTTATCGTCCAAACCATTTGATTACTTTCATGCTGAGAGAAAAGCTAGTATTCCTAACTTTGACTTAACCATCTATCCGTTGAGTTCGCTTTGTTTACTTTTATTATTGAGCTAAGAACTTTGGTATAGAACACTCAGTCAATATCAACATGCAACCCAGCCTTACTGCGTAATGTCACATCTTACATCAGCACAATTTAATAGATCTCAGGATGAAAGATATTGGAAAAAGAGCAATCAAAGTATCAGTTTGTTAGTGGTAGTAATGATAAGGGAAGAGGTTAAATGGTAACTAGATGTCTTATGATGGTTAAAGTTATTTATGGATACATTTGTGCCACAGATTGGTTCTGAACCATCGCCCAGTTCCCAACCATTGATTTCAGTTTTCACGTGAGTCCCGACCGGGACACCTATATCCACCTGCAGATCTGAGATCAAGGGAAGGACTTTACAGAAAGTGTTACGTTTCAGTCTGGCTGTCAACCTTTTTCTAGCCTAAGCCTACTTCAGCTAATATTGCCCTACTGAGCAGAGCAGAGTAACATCTCGCAACCACGTGAGTCGATGAAGGCTCACAACTTCATCAAATGACTAACCTCTTCTACATAAAACTGCATGTGATTTCTGCGTTATTCGCCTAGTGGTTACATGACATAATCTATCCTACTAGAACAGAGATGATTGGACACCTAGTCTTCTCATGCCCTCTGCAGTTAGTGGCTACGTTTCATAGTCACGTAAGACGGTGAACTGCAGTGGAATTCATTCCAGTTCTAGAAGGTAATAGAATATCGTGCCAGCGATGAACAGCGTGTCCGTAGTAGCCAATAATTCTTTGTATTCCTAAGATTACATCTAACATTGATCAATCATAATTGATACGACTTTGCAGGCAAGTGTTGTCAGCACACCCAACCATTTCTCTACCTATTGTTGGAGTAGGAAATTAAGCAGATCAGTCCTGGAGCAAGAGCTCGTGTGGGTGGTAAGAATCGCATCCCAAACACTCAAAGTGTTCAGAGCACTCCACATCTTGCCAGCATATTCACTTAGTAGGACTGCTGTCTATGGCTTTATTTCATATTGTAGTAAGGTCTGTCTTCGTAAATCTGAGAATGAAATTTGGGCACTGTAGTAGAGTATAATTCCATAATGATTCATTCTTAGATGGATCTCAGTGGAACAGTATGTAGTGATGGCGTTTTGAGCGGAATTTATTGTTCATAGTCATTTCACCTTGGTATGATTGTAAACAATAGATTCTCGAAACATCGTTGCATTAGACGAGTAGAAATATCTCTAAATATGTCTATGATAGAGTTAAATAAGAATCGATAGTGAACATCCTTAGTGGAATCACTTGGTGTAGACAACTCACCTGATAACGTAGACCCTAAAGAATCCATGAGTGTTTGGATTTAGACCCTTAAGCAGTAATGTATTTCCCCGGTTTCCCCTTTAGTGAGACATCGCAATAAGACAAAGTCTAATGCCCTATTTAGTTCGAGAAATACTGCTAGTGTCGGACACCGGTAGTGCCTGTGTCCCAAGTCATGGTGTAGGGTAAATGTTTTGTTGATGAACTCGTGACTGGGCCTGAAAACTGCCTGGGTTCGCTGTCCACGAACTTTACTTAAGTTGGTGGCAGCCGTACAACGTAGACTCAGGTTATTTGATTCGTGGCTGTCACAATAAAATTTCTTCCTTTGGTAGAGGCAAACAATCAGTGGTTAAGACTAGTACAGAGGGATCATATTTGATCCATTTACGCTAGCTAACAAGTCAATCGACCTTCTCGCTAATTCTTGACTTACGTCCTTAAATGTCTAGCACAACCCATCGAAGTCTCCTTTCATTCCTCGTTTCAGGTTACTTGCAGTTATCTCAACTGCAAGAGTTGGAGACTGTCTCAATTTCCCATTCAGTATGCCACTAGATTGTGTGCAACGGAAGGGTAGATGACGGCCTTTGGACTTTTTCTCGAAGTGTTCTACCCATCATTCTTGTTTTTTATTCTGTAGGTTCTAGGCCCGTCTTTCTCGGCTATGTTCTCACCACCTATTGACTTTTTATCCCAGTTTCTTTAATTGGTCTGGATATTTCTGTTATTACCTGTTACTGCTGCCGTTTGCATTTCTGTGACCGCCTTCCACCACTAGTTACAGTCATTATATAGACTCTGCTGACCTACATTTGAGTTCCGTTCTTAATTGTATTCGAAGTCCACATCTGTTACGAAGCCACAGAACTACTGACTTTCTAGTCTGGGATGACAACAGACGTCTTCGGGATGAGAGCGTCCTGTTCCAAAAGCTGTCTAGCCTGTTTGTTTTTGGAAGAGCCCCTAATAATCTTGTCATCGAGTTGCGTTCAGAATGGTCTTACAGTTTCAGCTTTTCTACGACTACTTAAGCTAAGATATACTTGCCAAAGCCCAAGTGTGGTCATCATCGAAACACGTGGTGCAGAAGGAGCTAGTTTTTCACCAGTAACTAATAACAATATGGTCTGTGTTCACCCTGAAGCTAAGAATGGTGAACATAGACTATTTTTTTGATGCCATAGCTTGTTATTACTTGTTGACTGGACCGAATTGATCGACCACTATTAGCATATTAGCTGCTGCTCAGATGCCTCAACATCGTCAATATTTTCAGTTGCATATTAGTGGTGGATAGTAGCTAGCAGTAAAATCCAAAACCCTCGTTTCGTTCCTTTTGGGATTCATCTTGATGCACCTACCTCTGCTAACAACTCGAATCTAAAACCAATTACTACAGCCGCCAGACTGTTATCCACTAGGCAAGTGAATCGCGATAGCCACTCTTTGTGCTATGGGTATAGTTTTAATCCTATAAAGTAACTGTATGGTGTTTGGAGCGATTGATCCTGGGTTCGAGTCTTACTTGGAACATCATTCACTAGGAGGCAGGTACACGTAGCCGATTAGTCCCCAGTAGGACGGGACGTGCGTCCTGGATTCCACTGCTATCCGCTATCCATCATTTGTATCTCTTTTTGCTTGAATATTTTGATGGCTGAAAATAGATGATTGTCTCAGTACCCCTGCAACAGGCAATCGCCGATATCCGTCTCTTCGGTTGGTATTACGAAGGTACCATCTAAGTCCTATTATGCCTCACTTAGCCTAACCGCTTGCACACTGAAACCAACAACTGCAGAAACCAAACCTGAACGTTCGTTTTTATGTTAGAGGTCAGATAGTTTTCGTAAAACTTTTTCTTCACTTCATCCGAACTACGGTCAGTGTGTGCATAAGCAGAGATTAAAAAGTGACAACAAGTTTCACTGTTATTTTTAGTTCTCACTACACCATTCATTCCACTAGGGTACAGACTACTGTTAAGTGCGACCCAATCGTGTGGTGCGTCTCCTGGTTTAGCACTTGATGCTACACCTACACCTGCACCTGCAAGATTACGAAAAACAGCCATGGAATCGCCAGGAACTCGAAGAGTGGATTTTGCAGATTTATTGCATTGCCTAGGTAGACGTCTAATGAGCGGCCACATTCGGGTCATGTATGCGTCTCAAACAGCAGACGTCCACAACCCGAGACTCCGGAGTTCTGGTTAACCAAGTCTTTTTTTCTATTATATAGGGGTGGGGTGGGGTGCAGATGTTGATAACTTCAATTAATTGTTTGATATCGGAAGACCAAGTATACAACTTTGTATATCTAAGTTGTTATCATGAGGGGCAAATCTGGAAGAAATTAAAGATGCCGCAGGAATATTGACAGATGTGAAGAAAGGCAAGAAGAAAAATATTTTGAAGGTTGATAATGATCTACAAGAAATTGTGTGCTAAAATATATGTATAAGCGTCTGTCACTTTTCGGTTGCTCATGCCGTGGGAGGTTATTTTTTCTTGATGTGCCTGTAAGAGGAGGTAGATTAGTTTCACGTGACTCCAGAATCCGAAAGCTATCTGCCTGAACCTAGTCACTCCACTTTTCTGCAAGTTTCAAATTTCACTGGCTGTTTTGAATCCAGCTACAAAACCGTTAACGTCGGAATGCCGTAAAGTAGATTAAAAGGATTATTTTTGGAGCCATCTTTTTCTTACTCCTTCCCCGTTGGGAAGGCATCAGCATTAACCGTCGGTCATCTGCAGGGAACCCATCATTGTCGCCACACCCCATCCAACCATCAGTGTTATCATCCTCGGACCTCCACCATAGCGTAAACTCACTATGACGGTAACTGCTTTTTTTCATAACGCCAACCAGATTAAACTTCTCAGCTGAGTGAACACATCTTCAAAATCAGAAATCTATGGCAGTGTTTCAACTTGCCCACAATCAT